GGCTATGAATAGAAGAAATAGATGGAAGCAAAGTTGAATAATGTAAAAGAATTTAAAAAATAAGAAACTCAAACTCTAATTATACTCAGAAACGATTACCCCATCAACACAATAGGTCAATACCCACTCTTGACTATTAGATTAGATGTCTTGGAATTTGGACAAGAAAGCTGTGAAGAGGTAAAAGGCAACCCAACGCGGCCTGTACTAGATTTCACCAAACTTGTATCCCTCCTTGATTAATAGATTTCTTGCGGTTTGCGCATTTGAACTTTGTGAGATAAAATCTAGGGTTAATGAAAATGAACTTGGTCAGACAAGACCATTTAATTAACTTAAGGATATATTTATATTTCTGGAATACACGAAATGTTATAGATTTAGAACCCAATACTCTCATTTGCAGCTTAGTCTTGTGATTTTTTTCTTGTTAATTTTTTCTTTCTGTGATGTTACTGACTTACTGTTGTTAGCTTTTTCACAACAAGTAATGAACTATCTATAACAACAGTCTGCTATATCAGAGAATGGTAGCACAATTGAGTGCTCTACTTTGGTAGCTAGAGCCCATCAGTCAAAACCCTAAATAACCCTCGAGAATAAGCTTCTATTATAACAAAAGATTCATGACCCAGAGCCTAAACTGTATACAGGGATGGTGACAGTGATGTGGTTTGGCTCGATGGATTCTTCTTGCGTCAGCGTGTGTTGTCACTTGTTTCAAGTAGCTTGGGTACATCGATGCAAGTTGTAAATTTGTAACATTTGATTAATGATCGTCATATACCGAACGAACAGCTTGTAGTTCAGCTGGGCTAACTGCTTCAGCTCACATGGTTGGTGGGACATCTTCAGCATGGGTAGTTGGGCATTGCATTTACCCCAATACTTAAGTGGTGTGGTCCCACTTTCTCAATCCCATTCCCATGGAACAAGATGAAAGACTCCTCATCAAGGCAACCGTTCTGGGACTAGTTTCCAGGTTGAATGGTCCGATTTTCAGTTCGAACGGATGGCCTATTCTGACTTAAAAAATAAATAAAAAATAAAAAAATGACCAAAATCGTTATCCATGTCAACAGTTAAACGGTTTACCGCCCGAGTCAACAGGTCACTGTCTAAATCAACGGCTTTTGGCCAAAATGCAGTTTTAGGGTGAAACAGAACCAATTTCCAGGTTTTCCGGTCTGACCGTCCAGTCCAGCCCATTTTAAAATCATGCTCCTCATACCTTAACCTATTCATAGGCCATGGATCATGGTGATGGCAATTAAACAAAACATTTCTTCTCAACACTCCCTCGAGTACACAATTGACAAAATTTCCATTTCCACATCAACTTACTCTCAGAATAGAACGGAATGTATGTGGCATTAAAATGGAATGGTGAAACAGGATTAAAATCAGTCCCATACAGTTGAAAGATGCTTAGACGATGATGACCAATTCCCACAACAAATTTGATTCAAGTATCTCCTTGCGTTACGACTATACCATTTCAGTGAACCAATGACCCTTCAACTGCAAGGGCCAAATATCACAAAAAGCACGACTGAAGAATGAAGAGAGAATATTGTGATTATAGCTGATGTCATTTTCGTACAAGAGAGAATACAATTCGAGCATTTGTATGGAGATGCGTTCTAGACTTGAGAATCATGACATTAAAGCTGTCCTACAAAATGCATTGACTAGGAAATCGATCATTGGTAGGGTGCTCAACAAAAATCGAAAAATCAAATAGAGGAAACTGAACCGAAAAAATGCTCGAACCAATGGATGGTACCAGTTCGGTTTCAACACTCCTAATTCTTGGTCTGATATCAGTAGACTACATTGGCAGATTACAAAAACGAGATTTCAATTAATCATATTAATGATCTCAGGGTCTTCAATATGATTAACCAACTGTGAACATGCTTTATGGTGCAGTTCATGCACTATAGATTTTGCAAAATTACGAATTTTAAAAAGGCAAATTCCTCCTTTTGAGCATGGTTTTTAAAACCAACCCGAGACTGAACCGTTCAGGGGTCCGGTTACCAGGCCGAATGGTCCGACTGTTCGAACCGAATACTTGGCCCGTTCTGACAAAAAAATTAAAAATATAAAGAAATGGTAAAAACCGTTGAAACGGTTCAAATGGTTAACCACCTAATTCAGCGGTTCGCTGACCAAAATCAACGGTTTTTGAGAAAATTCAGTTTGGGGGGAAACAGAACCGGTCACCTGACTGGTTCCTGGTTTTTCCAGTCCGACCGTCCTGTCCGGTCCAGTTCTGAAAACCATGCTTTTGAGTGAATTTGAAAGGATTAGCTGAGCCCAATAGCTGTTCAGCAGGCTGTGGAACCAATGATGCAGTAATAAAAGACATTGGACCCACAACCATTTCACTTCTCAGTTCTCACTGAGGACCCCATGTATTTTATCACTGGGGTGGGGCGTTATCATTGGTTCCACAGTCCATATCATCCAAATTCATTTTGGAACCCCTGTTGTGGATTTGAAATCCTCCTATTGTGACTTAGTGCTTAGAGATTAGGTGACAGGGTGGGGGGAAAGAGCAGGGGATACCTATTTTGGGGAAAAGCCAGAGTTTTGTAGTTAATACTGATCAAAACTCAACCTCAAAAGTCATTGATGATAATTTACACATCCAAGCAGAGGGCATACATATTTATTTGAGTTTCAGAAATTGCAGCATTGTAGGAATTGGTCAAATAAATAAACGATTGAATGGTAGTGGTTGTGATTTCTGACATACGGTGCCTGTCAATATGGGGCTTCATCTTAAAAAAACTTGAGTAAAGATGGTTTAAATAGGAGCTTTGGTTTAGAGGATGAGGAAAAGCCAAGGTTTTATATCCTCTTCTACAAAGTCAAGAAACAAATTGACATGAACCATTAATGCAACTCAAGCAGAAGCTGGGTCAGCGGCACAGTCCCAGGCTCCCAGCAGCACTTTTCTTTGCAAAATACTCTTCAGCACGTATTGGGTTTTTAGATGGCTTAACTTGTTTATTTCCCCCAGGCAATATGGTTAGAGAACAGCCAGCAACCTCAAGCTTCTCCTTTGCTGATTATTTTTCCAGAAATGCATTTTAATAAGAGAACATGCAAATGCAAATGGATCACTTTGTGCTCAGAAATGCATTTTAATAAACAGGAAGCAAAATTATCCAAGCTATCTCATCAGGCCTCTTAACTGAGTAACAGGAAGCAAAATCATTACAGGTAATCTTGACCCATTATTTTTGAGATTTCCCCTCAACTTTCCCACTATCCGATGCCCGTTTAAGCTACATTGAGATCATCGTCTTAATTGCAACTTTTAATGCCCATTTGGGAGGACTGAAGCATAGCAACTTCTGGCTTTCCAAGGTGGGCCCCAAACAGACAACCTACAAAATATGTTTGGTGAAAAATCCCGAGAGCCCAAATCAGCTGTCTGTCAGTCATTTGAAGGATTATCTGCTTCAGCCTCTTTGAATAGCTTATTCAGTGGAACAGCTTAGTTGAATCTTCAGCTCAACTCTCCCAAACAGGCCTTAATGCTTTTTAATAATGGCAACAGTTTTCCAGTACTTTTGACACCTAGAACCAAACATGCACTCTATTCATTGCCTAACAATCTAGACATATTAATAATACCTCTAGGAATTACCTTCCCAAGGCCCGCATTGTTCCCATCAGTCATGTTGAGAATGGATATCAAACTTAACTTCTATGAGCAAGTTCTTGATGAACCATAATAAAAGCTTATTTGCAACTAACTTGCATAAACATATATAATTCCTATTGATTCAGGATACTTGGTCTGAGTGGAGGAAGAGGGTCAGTTTATCATGAAATCAGGGGTGCGGAAAATTAACCCATGGAGCAACACAATATTTTTTTTGACAATTGTGGAGTAACACCATATTAGAGAAGACTTAGGGGGCATTTGATAACTCCTTTCAGAGGTCTGACGTCTGAAATATCTGCTTTTCAGACGCCAGTCTCGTTTAGTATTGCATCTGAAGTATGATCTGAAATGCTTTTTCAGATCTGAAATTGTAAAACACAGGCTCATCACTTAATGCGCTCAGACGCATTTCAGATGTGGCCTAAAGTAAAAAATACCCCTATTTTAACCCGATAAAAGCTTCACTCTCTCTCTCTCTCTCCTATCTTCCCGCCACCACCGCTGCAACTCTCAGCAGCAACGGCAGTTCTTCTCAATTTTATTCTTATTTTAATAAATTATCTTTTATTTTTTATGTATTAATTATTAATTATTTTAATAGTTTTAAGATATTAATTTGATAATTATTAAATTTTTTTTTCATTGTTTCATGCACTTTATTACTATTTTCATTATTATTTTAGTTCTTAATAATTTATTTTTAATTTATAAATTTATATGTATTTTTCAATTTTATTCTTATTTTAATAAATTATTTTTTATTTTTATAATTTACTCATATTTTTCGACATTATTTTGAATTTAATAAATTGTTTTTTTATGAAATAATGCAAATTGAACTCAAATTACCAAATAGTGTGTTTTAGGGGTAAAATAGTAAAATCAGCGAATTTCAGATGCTGAAGGTTTGGTCCAACACAAACAACCTTCTTTATTTAGAGCCTCTAAAAAGTAGAAAAGCAATTGTCACTTTTCAGATTTCAGAGACTTTTAATATCTTTTTAACTTTTCATGTCAGATTTATCAAACGCCACATTACACTACTTCCTCATGCCCAAATGGACATTACCATTATTTATCTGGGTTCCATTAATAACTTCCTGATCAAAATTGATTGCCACCAACAGCAGAAGAGTCACCGTCATTAAGAATCTTGAATCACCATCTCAAACACCATTTATCACCATTGCTGCAACGAGCGGGCCTCTTCTCGTTGTTTTAACAATTCCGTGTTCTAGACAAAATTACACAGTTTTTTAACACCTTCATTTGTAAGATCTTGTTTCCCTTCTATTCTATCAATTTTTGTCTAAAGAGTTAGGACTGCAGAACAGATTCAACATCCACACCGGACATTCAGATCTTGTATAGCAGAGAACCTCCTCTCTAGTAGAAAGGGTAAGTTCTGCAATGAAGTTCTGTACCCATAATAGATGAAGAACAAATTGTTTTTCAAACGATAAAAAAACAAATGAGAGAAGAGCGGGGGATTAAGAAATAGAGCACAGAGCAGGAGCTCTGATGTTCAACAAGCAGAATTTTTTCCTTTTCTCTTTTGAGCTTTTGAAAGAAACTGCAATGGAGCTTTTGTAATCAATTCGACAGCAAAGGCATTCTTGCTCCATTTTTTAACACAGACCAGTGAAGCCAAGCGGTGATAACTGAGCTCTTTTCCCACTCCCTCCCTCCCCTTCCCCTTCCCCTTCTTCATTCTCCCCTTCATCTCCCTCTCTGCCACTACAGCAGGGATGCCAATTGCCAAAAGCAGCTTCTTATGGATTGATGAGAGACTGATAAGCTTTTCTGGATTTAACAATTCCACTATTAGCAAGTTTTGTGAACAGGTAACATAGCATCACAAAGCTTTGTCCAATCTTCTTTGCAAAGTCAAAATCACGTCAAGAGTTTTTGTTGTTTTTCATGAAGTCAAATCTCTAATGCACAGATCTAGAGCTTTCAGTGTTTCAATCATTTATATTTATTATTTTCATAAGTATTGAATGACAAAATTTAACCAATAGATCATATATTTCTTCACTGCAAGTTCACCCAAAACATTTGGTTCCACTTCTTGAAATTGGCAGGTTACAGCTGGGTTATATCAGAGCACATTCTGGACTTTCTGCATCAGTGGCAAGGAACAGATTTATGTAAAAGGGGTAAAGTTTATTGGCAATCTGTGGCACATGCAGTATTGTGGGGAGTTTGGGATGAAAAAAACAAATGTCTCTTTGACAACAAATTCAGGCCCCTGGAAGAGTTAATTTCAGACATTACTTACCTTTGCAACCTCTGGACTGTAAATTCAGATCTGTTCAAAGGACTCTCAGTCAATGACCTCAATAGAGATGCTCACCCCTTTCTGTTTCTCCCTCACCTCCATCAAACAACCTTGAGACAACCAGATCCTATCAGTGAAGGAGTGATGACCCTAAAATTTGATGGAAGTGCTTTAGGTAACCCTGGCTTAGCCGGAATTGGAGGCATAGTAAGGGATGAAAAGGGCAACATTTGCGGGACTTTCAGTGGTCCAATTGGTTTGGCTGATTCCACAAAGGCTAAAGTGATGGCTGCTCTCACAGGAATCAGAATAATAAAAAACCTGGGAATCCTGAACTTAATCATTGCCGGTGATTCAGCAAATACTATAAAATGGTTAAGGGACAAGGAGGGGGAACTTGGAGATTGAGCCACTTCTTGGCAGAGGCTAGGGACTCTTTAGAATGTTTAAATGTAAAATTAGCTTGGATTCCTAGGGAACTAAATCATATAGCAGATGGCTTAGCCAAATGTGGTGTGTTTTTGGATCATTTGTATAGCAACAAGCTTCCTCCTCTGTAATTCTCATGTACCTCTTCTTTCTTTAATGAAATATGGTTAAATTCTTCTCAAAATTTAACCAGTCCTATTGGTTCAGACAAGTTTAGATTGAAGTTTGAGCTTTGTGAAATAGATTTTCACTGTCTAAACTTACTGCTTCTTAAGATGCTTTCTGATGCAGAGGTTGGATTTTTTTTTCTTTTGTCATTTCCAGCAGTCGAGTCGCTGGCAAACTTCATAAGGCAAACCAAAGGGGTTGCAGAAGGATTAGGGGAAAAGGCAAAAGTGGCAACCAAACAAACACACTCTGCTACTGTAATTTTATTTTATTTATTTATTTATTTTTTATCGGTATACTCTTCTACTGTATTCTGAGTAGACGTTGAAGATGTCAAAGGTCAAACAATAAAGGAGGCACCTCTCAAATGAGGAAGAAAATAATCAATGGGTGTTAATGGTGGTGATAGAAGAAAAATGGAGAAAACTTTGTTTAAATAAAGGACAAAATTGGGTTTTTGAAATATTGAAAGAGTCATGTAATGTTGTCACATTCAAACAGAATATGACAGACAACCAACAGAGGGGTAGTATTTGTCAAATTACGTCATACTATAAGGGTCTTTAAGTAGGTTTCCAAACCTTAGGGGTACTTTAAGTAATTTCCAAATACATCAGGGTGATTTAAGTAATTATACTACCCCTCCAGATATGGGGGTTCATCTCTTTTTTTCTTCTTTTGATCAGAATTTTGGGTTCCTCTCTTCATTGAAATGGGCTTCGGACCTTTGGTTTGGAGGATAAAAGATGAAAGATTTTTTGTATTTTTACCTTTCTGTTTTAAACAATTATTTAACTGGATCAGGGTTAATTGTGTCATTAAAAATAAATAATGGCCTAGCTGAACTTCTGTTAATGGTACTAATGTTGACATGATGGAAGGTAAGTTTTAGATAACAAAAATTCTGAGAGTGGGATCCGTGGAGATTTTGGAAAGTCAGGGTAAGTACAGGACAAATGGGAAAAAGTGAATGGGGAGTTCTAGATAATAACCCTAATAAGAGAAAATACAAGGTATATACAAAGGGGGGACAAAAAACCCAGAACAGAATAGGATAGACTTATGTACTTCTATTTATATACAATTTAATTTGATGCATATCAATAATTCAATTTGGCTCTATAACTATGGCTTTTCTAATATTTAATATATAGAAACTAATGTTATACAACATATACCAACCATGTGGAGTATTTGAACATGCCAAAATATCAAGTTTACCAGGATCACTATCTCACCATTTATCCATATTCAATTCCAAGACATCTGAATGTCCCAATTATATAATAAAGCAAAAATATGCTATTTGATGAATCAGAAATATGAAGCAAACGGTTGATGATTCTCTTAAATAGAATGTTTGACCTTACCTCCTATGCATTGTAAAATAAATTAAAAGATATGATTCATCATCCTTACCTTTAATGGAAGTGTTTGCTCTCTTCCAGAAGGGCTAATCAATCCCATCTCCTTCAAGGACTCTAGTGAGAAACCTTATCCGCTTCTTGGAATCCTGCAGCTGCTATATCTCGCAAGTTCACATGGACATACTTCGGCAGCCCAGTATGCATTCCTTTTTGACAATTAGCTGACAAATCAGTGCATGAAATTCAGAAAAAAAGAGATTAGAAAAAACATTTCTTAGAATATTTTCCAAGAATATGCACACCTAACATGCAATGAAAAAAAAAACTCTGAGGTGTCAGTACATGGACATGCTTAAAACTATTATAAAGGTACATCCCCACGCCTCAAATAACAATTTGCTTTTTCACTTGCAATGCCTAAACTATCTGCTATTGTTTAGGGCTATATAATTGGATCAGATTTGGATCAATCTAGCCACATCCAACTTTGATTCAATTAATAAAACCACTATACTAAATTTAGGCCTAGCAGTCATTGGATCAGATCAGCCAGATCAACCATCCTTAAAAAAGAGGGAAAATTAACAAAATTGCTCTTTGACTTGTGCACTTAGAAACAAAAAGAATTCATGACTCTTTGACTTGTGCACTTAGAAATCTAATTTTTGCTCATAGAATTTCAGTTTGATTTCCATTATCGACATGAATTATGGAAACCTATATCAATACAACCTTTACTCTGATTTTTTTTGGAACATAGAATCCTGTCTGAAAGCCTATATCAATGATCTTAGGAAGAGAAATATAGTCCTTAAAAGTTCTGATCTCTCTTTCCAATCCCCCATAAAATGCCTTTAAGGAACACTTAACTACACCTGTTGCTAGAAGATCCAAATTCCACTTGGCTATCAAGTGAAGAATATTCTCTTGGGGTAGCCACTATAGCCCCCCAAGCCTAAGAATAGGCACAAATTTGCCTACCAAACATCAGAATTAGCATATGATTGGCTGATCTGTGCTTCTGAAAATTAGAGAATAAAGAGATGAAATTTTTTTCTCAATCAATAGCAATTTTGTTTCTCCTTGCTTTTTGGTTGTTAAAAGTGTTTGTGTCGTGTAAAGAATATTTCCACAATGGTCTTAATAATGAAGTATTTTGCCCTTCCAAGGACCCATTTGGGAGAGCTGAAGATTTGGTTGAGTTACTTTCACCGAGCTGCTTTGGAGAAGCCACTAAAAGAAGCTTCATGGGAAAGCCATTTTCAGCTGAAATATAGTTAATTTCAGCTTTCCATGTTTTTCACCAAACAATGCTTATAGGCTGTCCAGGTGGGGCCCACCTCACAGAGCCAAAAGCCACCTTGTAAAAGCCCTCCCAAAAAGGCATCATCCATAACAAGCATCAGCCATAGTGTAAAAGCTGTGTAGCAACCACCTGATAGAGGTATTGTCAAGTTCAATTTTGATGACAGTAGTATGGGAAATCCAGGACTATCTAAAGTGGGTGGTGTTTTAAGGGAAGAAAAATGGAGGTTTCACCGGAGCAGAACTGCAAGCCTATACTCGGGTTGTACATAGTTCAGTAAGTGCCAAGATCAGCCAATAGTATGGCTGATAGCTTGGCTACACAAGGGGTAAACAACAATCAACTCTTCTAGCCTATACTCGGGTTGTACATAGTTCTATACAAGGGGTAAAAAAAGCATCAGATGTAGCCCTTTTTATTGTACGGTGAAATATCTGTTAACATGTTTATCCACAGAATGGTTCATACTCTGTCAGGCTTCCTTTAGTATTCGGATGCTGCCCTGACCACCATGAACAATTATTTGCCATTCTTAACATACCTCAAATGTAATCCCGAATTCTGGTTAAGGACATCATATATCCTAAATGGCAAACACTGAGGTTTACTCGTATTAAATTTATTACCCAAAAAAGGTTGCTTACACTAAATAATAGCAATATCCTCACTGTAAATTACACATCCTCATCGTAAATAACTGGATAAGAGGTAGAACCTTGAAACTTGAAAGGATGGAAAGAGAAAAGAAAGAAACATTCTTTTCATGAATCTAATCGGACCTATCAAGAGATGGTAGAAATCTTTACACAAATAGTAAAATAATCATTATCTGATATACCATTTTCTTTCTCTTCTCACTATGGAGTCTTGAAGAAGGGAAAATTTGAATTTCAACTGAAGCCTAACCGTGCTTAAAACGGGGATGAGACTTTGGTATTTCGAATATCATTTCTTTCTAAAAGGCTTGAACTCCATATTACATAATCATGATCTGAGACCTTTATTGCTACGCAGTGACGATATCAGAAAAGAGCAAGCACGACTCTTTTAAAATCCACTGTACCAAAAATTCCATCAATCCCCCCAAAGAAAAAAAGAAAAACACCTGAATGTCAAAACCAAATCGAAAGTTTTCTAAGCAGGGAGTGTAACACCTGATGTATAATTGCACAATTAATTTGGACACCGAAAGATGGTCAATTGACTTCAAGGAATTGTATCTCGTTAGCTGAAAAAAATGAAATGGCTTTCAGAAAAGCTAAATCCATTTTAGTATACTGTTTTTCCGGGAACATGTTCTATACCAAGAAGAAAACCTTGAATTGATTGATTCCACATCGATTTCACTTCAGAAGTACTCAAAACTGTGAATAGAATCTTATTTGGAGAAGGAACATGATTAATGGGTAACCCCTTTTCTTCATCTTTAGAAGACATACATGTTAGTAAATAGTAATGAAACAAGGGAGTAAAGAGATACCTCCGGCAATGCCTCCAAGTTTTTGGGGATACAGCAGTAAAGAGGCACCTGATCACCCTCGAAACCTTTGCGAACACCGGGGCGAACCTCAACTTCTGAATATCTCATCCCAAACCCACAACTTTTTCCTTGACCAGCTGAAACACCTCCCCCTTTCCTCTTGTTTCTCTTTCTGGAGCCGGTCTGCGGACCCAGACTATCAAGCCAAAATAGAACATCTGAACCTGATACAAAAGCAGTAGACGAAGAAGAAGCTCGACTGAGAACAACAATTGGTCTTCCCTCTTTCCTCTTGAATTGAAATTTGGGTGACAGAATTGGAGTTGAACTTGTTTTGAGACTACTTGCATTCACCTGTGGAAGGGATCATCACCTTGAATGACGTAGTAGTAGGGTAATAAACTATAAAACTACTCTGCTTGGAGCAGACGAAGAAAAGCGAGAGTCGAGAGAAGGGCTTCCATGGTTACAAGGAACAGTGCCCGGAAAAGTTACGCGGCAGTCTATTGATACAAACGCGTTGAAAGTTGAAACAACGCTAACGAAATCGGGTTCGTTCCTGGAAAGGATCCTATTTCAAACTTCCGATAGAATTGTTCCCCGTTTCCTACGTCCGGTCACATATGAAAAAAGTACAAGTCGGGTCGGGTTAGAACGATTGATGTCAAACCTACGTCAACCTGAGGTTCTAAACCTCCAAAACTATTATTCTCATCGTCAATCCGATCTAACCCAACCCGATTTTGGATTTGTTTGTGATCCGACCCAAGTCGCAGCTTTAGTTCATAGTCACGTACGGACATAGGAGAACTAATTCCAATTATCAATTTTTTAGACATCACCATGTTGGCTTGAGACTAGATCCGCTAATCACACATGGCGCCTAACACCGACCTCACAGGTACATTCCACCATGCATTCGCCGCCTGTAAGATCGTTGTGAGGCGCCTGCGTGAGGAGCAGGTCCCAATTCTGCTGGCATTGCCTACGACTTTATGAGTTTGATTTTGACTTTTTTTCACTTGATTGTAAATTTAGGCTATGTTTGATTTGTAGGAAGATTTGGGTGGGATGGGAAAAGATGTGATGGTGTAAAAATTTATCTTTTCATTGTTTGGTTTATATGAGAAAATAGTAGGAAAACGGTGAAGGATTGTGCCACCGTTGCCTCCTTTGTTCGAACAGGGAAGGCAGTGAATAGTATTTGGTTCGTTGCCGTTGTCAAAAGAAATGGGGACTGTTTTCCGTCGTTGTTGGTTCATCGTCGCTGTCGAAAGGAAGGGGGATTGTTCACCTTCGTTGCTGTTCACCATCACCATTGGTCCGTGGTAAGGAGACTCTTTGGTTCGCCGCCTTACTCCAGTTGAAGAAGAAGAAGGCACATCCCCTTCCCCAAGCAAATGATTTTCTCGAATTTTCCCATTGAGGTCACACTATTTTGGTGTGACCTCAATTACACAATTTTGGGATTCTACATCCCACTTTTTTTCTCATCCCATCCCCCTCTTTCCCTTAAAACAAATAAAAGAAAAAGGAATATTTTTGAAATATTCCCTTTTTCTCATCCTCATCCCACAAACCAAAAGGAGCTTAAGGGGTGAGCACTATTCGGTTAAAACTAAAAAAACGAATCGAAACTTTTGATTTCCTTTTTTATTCATTTTTTTTTATTTTTTTATTAAATCAGTTCGGTTAATTCAGATTTTGGTTTCAGTTTTTAGAATTAGAAATTTGGTTAATCAAGTTAATCGAACTTTTTATTATTATATATAATATATAATATATAATATATAATATGTATTTATATATTAATATATAATAAAATAAAATTTAGTTTCATAATATATATTATATGTTATAATATATAAAAAAATTCGGTTTTAACCGAAAACTGAATAAAAAATTTCGGTTTTGGTTATTTCAGTTATTCTATAATTCGGTTTTGGTTTGGTTTTAATTCTAGTTCGGTTTTTAAAATTTCGATTTATTCGGTTAAACCGAATGCTCACCCTTAATTGTAATGTTGTCCTCTTTTGTGGAGACTATACAAGTACAAGTGCAATCGGGCAGGATGGGTTGGGTTTTAGCCCAATCCAAGTCTAACCTAAAGAATTGGGCCCATAGCTCGAAAAGCCTAAATTATCCAATCCAAGCCCAACCCATACTAAAATTTGGTGCACTCAAATTGGACTTGGGCCCATGTCAGGTTTAGATTCAAGGGCAAAGCCAAAATATAATGGTGGGCCAAAACTTAATAAAATGGGTCTTTGGCCCCCCAAAACTTGAACAAAAATGTGAAGGATCATCTCTAGCCCTCCTCCAACTCTCAAAATTAAAAAAAAAAAATGTATTTTTCTTTAAAAAATATGTAATAGACCCAAACCTTCTCAGGCCATTTTCCCTAAACTCTATTTCTTCTACTCCCTATCTCATTTTATTGTTTAACTTGGCCCCTCCAAAAGAAAATTCTTG